AATTCTGAGAGAAATTCAAACACTGTGTTTTACCTTTGTCTATCTGATATGAAGGCCTATACGTATCTATTAAGCAAAGGAATATAAAAGACATTCCAGTTTATGTCACACTTTGTGGCCCAGCTGCGAATCAATTTTCAAGTAAGAAAAAGCAAAGATAGACTCGTATTCTTCAGAGTAGCATTGCACAAGTGAGGTTTAGTGACATAGTTCATGACACAGCCAAACTGCTTTTTGTTCAAGAAGGGCAGTATTCACATGAAGTACCCAAATCTCCGCTGCTCCTTTACTTTTATTGCTTCCTTTTCAAGAATTAGAAATATCTTTTCATTTTCTATTCAAGATAAATAGGTATCCTGAATGAAGTGTCAAAATGTGCCACCCACCCCCCTACAACTCTTTCCTAGGTATTGGGTTAAACTTGAACTTTAATTTACTGCTTATGCCTTGCAGTAATCCAGGAGATGACACACATTTTGCAGCTTTAGAAAAGACAGTAGTAAATCCTTATTTTCTGGGTATTTCACATTAGCCATGCAGGATGAAAGCAGAGGTGATATAGGCTTAGTTAAGCATTTCTTTCTGAGAAACTAGAAATTGCTTCAGCCCAAGTATCCCACTGCAATGACCTGAATTAACTATAAACCCGCTAGTGGCATTATAGCATTTTAAATTGACATTTAAAATGTTACCAGCAACAAGTGGTAAAAGTAGTCAGAAATACGTACAAATATTTCCTAAGTGACATAATATTTAGACCATCTCTCAGTCCCCTGGATAACAGAGAATTTTTGAAATGCAGAACGTGTTAGAAAGTGATGGGAGAGCTACCGTGCACCGGTTTTACTTATTAACACTTCCCAAAAGCGAGGATACGTGACAAAGCTTAGAAATAGCTACTTGTAATATAGTTTTTCCCTGCTGTAATAGCTTTCCACAAACGCTGCATCTAACAATGCGGATGTCTATTCCATGTGCTCTGGTTTTAGTGAGGAACTGAAAATGATACCTTGAGGTGGATCAGCTACCATGCATACAAAAATACCCCTGCACACAGACTGAAGACAGGTCACAAACTAGAACAAGACATTAACAGCACTTTTAATGTATCAATTTATTGCATATGTCAGTACATAAAAATAGAAAAGTGTTTCTTGTAAAATTAATTTTATTTTAAAAACCATACTAGAATGAGAATGTAAAACTTTGCCACGATTAGCACATATACATTTACGCTTTGTCTACAAAACTTAAGAATACTTTATAAGACATTTTTGCTTTAACTATATATTAAAGAAAAATAAAATAAAAAGCTTGCATCATATATTCAATCACTGTTTCTGAATTTGAAACACAAGCGTTATTTAGAACTTCAATATGCTGGCTCTATGTACACTGCTGTGGGGTTCTACTCTACATTATACAAGCAGGATGGCATTGTAAATTATTGTCAATGGGATACATCAGGCTGATCCCACTACATGCAAGAGGCACCGATTTTATATTTGGCAGAAGTGCCCCATGCAAAATCACCTGTCACAATAAAAACATACTTCTCAAGAATTGAATTATGAAATACAAATGGAGGTATGTCTGCATCTTTTTGCTAAGAGAAGAGACCATACCTTGGACTCTCAATTCAGCCTTGCATTCTTCACTGTGAACATCCAACGTGACGCAAATGATTAGCTCAGAGATGCTGATATGCATATTTTGTATAAATAGTTAATCCATCTGCCCTTCAACTGAGAGATTGTCCGTAGCCTACCGAACGTATTTGTGCTCTATTTCTAATTTACCTGAGAAATGGACATGAGGGCAGCTACACCAGTTAACATTTCTTCAGATGAAAGCAAAGCTTATCTCTCTGCATTTCACAGTTCAGAAACAAATACTGGGAATGTAAACTTGGGTTAGCAGGAAGCCTCAAATATTTCCACTAATTAAAACCACACACATGTATGCACAAACAAGGTCTTATGCTGGATGCTTCCTCACAAGGACTCTACTGCTACAGCTGTTCCAGTTCAACTCCTGGACCCCCCCATTCTTTTATTTTCTTTCTTTTAAAGTTCCTCTTATAAAAGAGACAATTCCTTTAATAAGCATATTTAAACCAAGAGGTTTTCCTACAAACCTGTGAAAATAACCCAAGTTCCTCTTCCCAAACTAGGAATTTATATATACAGGACAAATACCTGGGAAACATCTACACACAAAGAAAGAAGTGTTATGGGAAAACACAGAATGGTATTAAGTGGAATAAATGCAACAGTATCACAATACACCTTTTGGCAATTTAAAGTTATTACTACTATGTTGCTTTCAGTTCACTGTCTGAAAATGGCTTTTAGCAGCAGGTAACTGTGGGTTTCCATCGCACAGACCATAAAATAAAAACAAGTCTTGACTTGTCAAAACAAGTTGCTTCCCCCTTCTCCCTCCCTTAAAAGACAGTATGTACAGCAGTAGAGTATTTGCATAAAATAGTAATTTCCTTCCTATTTTCTTTCAGTAGATTTCATAGCCAATGCAGTGAAAAATAGAATGATAACAGACATTCATTCACATGTGTATGCACCCAACCCATTAACGGAGAAGTAAAAATGTGCATATGTGGAAGGCGGAAGAAACCACATGGAGTGTAAACGATGCATATATGACAATTGTCTCTTCTCATACCCAATACTTGCAAAAACAGGCCAAGTTTCATCTTTATGTCCTGCAGACAATATAGTGAAAAGGTATGGCTTGGTATCAAAAGCAATGTTTAGATACAGTCCACTTAGAAACGCTCTAGATTGCCATCATCTAATGCCACATGAGACTTAGCAACTGCGTGCCAAAAGAATAATTCCTTTGCATTTAAGTGCCACATAACACTGGGGGTATTTTGGGTTGTGGATTTTGTTTGTCTTTGATTGGTAGGGAGTGGGGTAAAAAGTCACGTTACTTTGGAAATGGCTATTTTATGAAAAAACAAAAGGTATTTAAGGGCAAGTTATGACAACTTCTTAAATAATTATTTACTTTTTCCTCATTCTGTCTCCCACAAGTAATCTATTCTTTTGGCTTCATCAACTTGTTTTTAGACAAGCAGTATTTGCCTACTTATTTTCCTTCTCTCCCTCCACCTTAATTCTAAAGCAACATGAAGTAGCTGAAACAATCTATGCAAGCATTTCACATTGTCATTTTAGAATACAGAAAGGGAATGCTGTGCCTATTAACTTCCTTCTGGCATATAAACACCCCCTCCCAACCAAACTTCACCAGTATACCTTCCTCACCCACCTCTCCCCCCCAAAATATCACCATTGGAAGGCTGAAGAGATCGTTTTGGTTTCACTCCGATTTAAAACTATGCTCTGCCTATAATGCTTTTAGGTCTACAGATCCAAAAAGGTCTACAGCTTTTTTCAATGACCTCTAAGAAAACCTTAATAATAGTACATCAAAAGATACTTACCAGAGAAAACAGGAACTTCTGGTATGTATATGTTTATTTAAAAAAAAAAAATCACATTGAAGTAAATTGCTGACAACTATTATGTAAGACCTGTAACTCTGTGTAGTAAATTTTAGGAGGCATAACCATTAAGGCACCAGTTCAGGAAAGCAGTTTTATTCAATCAGAGAACTTAAGCACAAGCTTGAAATACCACTGTCCATCAGGAAACAGATTTTAAGTGTGTGCTGAGATGCTTTTCTGAATTGGGACAACATGGCAGAAGAGTTTATTTAAAAGTTTCAATCCGAAGGGGAATTGTACAGAGTGTGTGGAAGATTTTCCACAGTTCCTTCTTCCCATAAAAACTATTTTGAAGAGGCAAACTATCAACTGCAGCAAATGAGAAACGAAACCTGCAGAAGAAATCTACACAAAAAAGAAAAGCCCCACACTCCAGTACAGACCAAGCTAACAGCATACAACTTTGATATGACTACCCTGGATAAGCACCCTTAAAAATAACAAAAAAACCCAACATTCAGCCAGAATCAAGCTCTCTCAGCTTAAGTATTGCTGGCTCTGAAATAGTGATACCAGCTTCAAAAACCCCAGCAGAGCTAAAGGAAACTCACTTCTGCTGATGCTTAGGCTACTTCCACATGGTACAACAGAACTGTAAGGCTTTTCACAAGCAGGGTAAAAGTGTTAAAATAAACATTGTCTCTTTCAGACTAAGCTTAGGTCTACTAAATTTACTGCATTGCTCATTTTTATTATCCTTACTGTAACAACTGTATACTAACCTCTAATCATGTGATCACTGGTACTTATTGGGATTTGTTTCTTTTGGAGGTATAAATACAGGGCACAGACATTCAACCACATCAGCCTAAAAATCAACACAAATACATACTTTCACCTTGTATAACACTCCTTTCTATCACAACCCCCACTCTGCCTTGGGAGATCCCACCTCAAATGCACAAGCAGACTAATACCAACAAATAGGTTGCCTGTACATTAGTGAGAGGAGCTTGGGGCAGAAAGGACCTTAGATCACACTGCTCTCTTTTTGGAGGTGACTTCTATTTTCTATGAAGAAACTGCCCGGGCAAAATCCTGAAGCCATGATGTTTAGGCACATACAACTTTCTGGGCACTATTAAAATACAAATAGTAAAATGAAAACAAGGCAAGCGTCTTTTCCTCTTCAGTTGCAGTCTGAAATACATATGTATGCATAATCATAAAAAACAGTAATAACCCAGGATAGTATACCTGCAAGTATACTCTAAGTATACTCTACCATTAAAGTTATTTTATATTAGCACATTAAAGACTTCCCACCTTGCATAATAATAAAATCTCAAGGAATAAAACACTAATCTCATGCATGACACACTTTAAAGAAACTCTAAGAGAAACAACAAATCATTGTGCTAACCATGACTGTTCAAAAAGCTCACACATACAGCAGTGAATACTGAAGAGCCTCCTGTTGTTCTAAACGGATGCATTCTGTACTACTTTTGTAGCAAGTTCCTTTAATAGCATCCATTGTAGATATCAAATGGAATATAGGGACAGATATACCAAAAAAGTATGAGAAAGACATAAAATGGTTCATTTACAATGCTGCAAATCTAAAAGTTATCTGGAACATTTTAATAAAGCATCAGACCTTTCCAAGTTTAATTTCACTCTTCAGGCAAGTACAGACATGACAGACATTTAAAAATGGACATTCTTTTACCACTTTTCACAAATCAAGGTACAGTGCAGGTATTCCCCTCACCCCAAAGAAGAACGTCAATTATATTATTGTCACATTAGATGATGTTTTCGCCATTTCTTCAGGGGAGTGGCTCTTTATTACTTCTTTGATGAACTGTTCAAGTGCAGTGAAATAACCCTGGCACTGCCAAGTGTCATTATGAGTTCCATCAGGAAATATCGCCAATCTCTTAGTCCGAGCTGGGGATAACTCATAAAGTTGCTTCATCATAACTGGTGGAATTAACTGGTCAGACAACCCAGAGATGAAGAGAGAAGGCATTCTGCACTGGGAGATTTTTCTGTAGGACAGAAATTTATTTTTGTAGCACCATAAAGGAAGATATCTCATTGGAAAGAAAGAAAACAAAGTGCTGGCCATGTATGGGATGCTAAGAAAGGTGTTCTCCACCACGATGGCAGAAATCCTATGGGAATTTTCAGAAGCTAAGTGAATAGCTACTGCTCCCCCCAAGGAACGGCCAAAAAGAAAAATTTTTGTTTTATCAAGATCAGACCGAGTCATCACATAGTCTAACACAGCCTCAGAATCTAAGTACAAACCTTCTTCACTTGCTTCTCCTTCACTTTTTCCATACCCTCTATAATCAACAAGAATTAAGTTTACTTTCAGGTTTACCAGCATTAACAAAGCATTTGGCAACCTGTGGCCAATGTTGCCTGCATTCCCATGAAAGTAAATGATGGTTGGAGAATACGCTGCATTGTCCCCTGTGTATCTCAGCAGAATAAGATTGAGAAGCACTCCATCTTTGGTTTTGATGAAGATATTTTCATGTGGTATACCGGTAGGCATAGGAACATAAAGGCGTGATGAAGAGGGCTGTTCAGGAAAGTAAAGCAGCACATCCTGGAATTTATATAATATACCCGCTATTGATACAAATATTAGTGTAAGAAGTATAACACCTCCATACAAGTGAAAAGTTACTATCAAGGGTAAGAGACAAATACGGCAGAGACTCCACGACCAGGAAGCCAAAGCTAGTAGCCATCTTTTAACAAAGGTCCAAAGCATCCATGACTTTTCCATTGTAGAATTCAGTGATCTTTTACTCCAAGTAAATCCTGTAAAAAACCCAAACATATATGTATAAATATAGGAGAAAGAAAGAGGAAGTGATTTAAGCATTCATACCTGCAGAAGATTAACGGCAAGTCAATGCATTAAAGCATAAACAAACTAGGTGGCAAACTCCCTTTGAATTTTGGAAACTATTCAACAGTAGAAAAGCAATCATAAGGAAATGGCTTTAGAACTCTTCAAAATCCCATTTATATTATTTCAGCAGGCAAGGTCCATCAGTAGCACTAGAAAATTGGTTGACTGGGACTGTAACAACTTAGGCTTTCCTTCAATCTTTCCTAGCCACCAACAGAACAACCATATCACCAGTTTGTCAGAGGTTCTCATATAAGTAATGCCAGAATCCAGAGAACACAAACAAACCAGCCCTCATTTCTAAGCTGCTATTGATTAAGGCCAAGAGGAGGATTCAGTAAGCCTATGCACTTAACTCTGCAACCAGTGGAGGCTCACAATGCACACAGGGTCTGTCATCGTTTCAGAATCTTAATCAACCAACATGTAAACTGGTCAGAAGAGAGAGACTCCTCTACGGTAAGATACCACGTTGTAGTTACATTTACGACAGCTATTTTGTTATATTTAGACTGGTTCTGATTTATAATGGTAAGTTTTCCACTATCAGATCAGTAATCCATATTAAATCTTAGCTGAAAGACTTTATCATCATACAAGACCTCTGAAAACAGTCAGCTAACTACATTATACACTGGATCAATGAAAAGCACAACTGCTGAGAAGTCCAAATATGAAAACAGACTCAGGACAAAAACATATACACAGCATAAAATGAGGACAGTGATGTTAATGATAATGGATTATTTTCTTACCAACCGTAAAAGACAGTTATGTCTCAACATACACAGAACTGCTCACATTTTTCACTGCTGGGTTCAACTGTAATATGGAAATAACCAAAAACTGCCAGGTCTATGCGAGAACTACAGTAACCATTCAGTCACCAGTGAGTTGAACAACCATACTGGCTGGAAGTGACAATACAAGCTCACTTGTTTAAAGAACACTCTAAGTGACACAGCAGGTAATAATTACAGTTTTGCCATACTCAAAGTTATAAACTCCTAAAATGATGTAGTGTAGTAAGAAGCTCAATTAACTCCAGAGGAGTCTGCCATGCAGAGATGCATCTAAGCATTCAATTAAGTCAAAGGACCCACACAAAAATACTACTGGAGAGGGTTGCAACTGCACCAGTCATCTTAGTCGGAACGAGGGATAAAAGGTGACCTCTGCAGTCACAGCCTTTGCATTCCAAAAATATGAAAACCACCTAATATGACCAGGAAAAACTGCCATCTTTCCTTATTTTATGTGACAATTAGATAAAAGTAAGAAATAAAATGTGAATCTTAAGATCACAGAATCATTAATATTGGAAAGGATCTTCAAGATCACCAAGTCCAACCATCAACCCAACACCACCATGCCCACTAAACCATGTCCTGAAGTGCCACGTCCACACGTTTTTTGAACACTTCCAGAGATGGTGACTCCACCACCTCCCTGGGCAGCCTGTGCCAATGTTTGACCACTCTCTCAGTAAAGAAATTTTTCCTAGTAGCTAATCTAAACCTCCCCTGGCACAACTTGAGGCCATTTCCTCTCGTCCTATCACTAGTTAGTTGGGAGAAGAGACCAACACCCACCTCAACACAACCCCCTTTCAGGTAGTTGTAGAGAGCAATGAGGTCTCCCCTCAGCCTCCTCGTCTCCAGACTGAACAAGCCCAGTTGCCTCAGCCGCTCCTCATAAGACTTGTGCTCTAGACCCTTCACCAGCTTGGTCGCCCTTCTTTGGACGCGCTCGAGCATCTCAGCATCCTTCTTGCAGTGAGGGGCCCAAAACTGAACACAGGATTCAAGGTGCAGCCTCACCAGTGACGAGTACAGGGGCACGATCACTTCCCTACTCCTGCTGGCCACACTATTTCTGATACAGCCCAGGACGCTGTTGGCCTTCTTGGCCACCTGGGCACACTGCCAGCTCATATTCACCTGGCTGCCAACCAGCACCCCCAGGTCCCTTTCCACTGGGCAGCTCTCCAGCCACTCCTCCCCAAGCCTGTAGCATTGCATGGGCTTGTGCAGAACCTGTCACTTGGCCTTGTTAAACCTCATACAGTTGGCCTCTGCCTATCGATCCAGCCTGTCCAGATCCCTCTGCAGAGCCCTCCTCCCCTCCAGCAGATCAACACTCCAGCCCAACTTGGTACCGTTCTGCAAACTTACTGAGGGAGCACTCGATCACCTCATCCACGTCATCAATAAAGATATTGAACAAGACCGGCCCCAGAATCAAGCCCTGGGGAACACCGCTTGTGACCAGCCGCCAGTTGAATTTAACGCAATTCACCACAACTCTCTGGGCTCGGCCATCCAGCCAGTTCTTCACCCAGCGAAGAGTAAACCTGCCT